CCAGCCATTTTCTACCATTTAATTAAATGTTCCTGAACCTAACCCATTTTCATTTCCCTAGATTTCCAGATTTTTCATGAGTTTGGTAACAGCCAACATATAACTTCAAAGAATAACTCAGATGCAGGGAATAACTGACCTCGCTTTTTTCCCTGGCCCTTTGAAGGATCCTCTCTTCAATGGTCCCCTTGCAAACAAGCCGATAAACAGTGACTTGCTTTGTCTGCCCCAACCGATGTGCTCTGTCCATTGCCTGTTCATCCACTGTTGGATTCCAGTCACTATCGAAAAATATCACCTGTGGTACAGAGAAGAGGAGAGAAGATTTATGATTATCTGTAAAAATCAAATTTAAAAGTATCACAAGAAAAAACCTTGCTTGAAAGAGGCAGAGAAAGAATACCCGAGAGGAAGTTAAATCAGGTTTTTTTTTTTTTCATGCAGGTTCCCCTGACACAAAAACAAACTTCTCATGGTTAGAGGGTTCATGCTTAGAACTATGAGCATGCAGGTATTTTCTTCATGAGGTCTCCATCTTTATAAGACCCCAAAGGACATAATTTTTGAATGGTCAAAAGGAGATTCTCATCTGGGATTTGAAAGCAGGTAAGGGTTTTTTGTGCATAAACTGAAAGACTCAGTGTGCTTTTATGAAAAGTCACAGACGACCTAGAACTATCACAATCAATATAAAATGAACCATAATCAATTTTAAACTTTTGTAAATCAGGATACTAAAGCTGTTGAGAGGAAGGCACAAGGGATAGAATTTAAGGGGTAGAGGGTAGGCTTAGTTAAGGGGGTGTTAAGAGGTAATACCATGGTTCAGGAGTAGATTTCATCCACTAAATCATGACTAATTCAAGGTCAGTCCTTGTCCCATATCCAGGGCCGGATTAAGAAGTTGCGAGGCCCGGGGCAAGGGGATTCTTAAGGCTACTCCCCCCCCCCTACTTAACACAAATATTTAACGTTAATTTTCTTCGGGGGGACCCCCTGGAAGAGTGGGGCCCGGGGCAACAGCCCCCTTTGCCCCGCCCCTCCCCCCCCCCCTTATTCCGGCCCTGCCCATACCTATTTTCAAGCAAAAAAAAGGGTGCGATTTTGGTAAGAGAACTATTTTGAACTGAGGCGGGTGGGGTTGAAGTCTCGCACAGTCTTTCGAAGTTTTCCTCATTCCTCCCAAGCACTCACCTTACTCGGCCACTTCCTTACCTCATGAGCCTGAAAAAGCACCCCCCGAAATTAATTCCGAGCTACGTCCCTGACCCTACAACATATTTTCTGCATGGGTTTCTACTCCACAGCATAAATTCATCAATTTTATTAATCGACTGTAAAGCAGGCAGCACAGGCAGGCTCCTTACCAGCATCTAGTGCTTCACGATTTAGGACTACAAAATTCCAAAATGATCCCTGACAACGCTTAACAGCCTCAATATATGGAGACAGATAAATAAAAATGTGCACAATGGGAAGGTCCTTCTGCCAAGTTTCACGTCGACAGAAATCACAGGCTATAAGATTATTCTTTTATTTCCACAATCAACTGGCAAAGATAATCGAAAACAAAGATTATACCAAGGACGGGTAGAAGGAGGAACACACTAGAAAGGGATAAGGATCATCTGCCTGTCTTGTGGAGCTGTCGGTAGAATCCCGAAGCCTTCTGGCGACGAGAACTTGATCTTGGGGTAGAGGAAAAGGACGCGCCGGGGCTGTCCGTCGGGATCAGAACTGGGTATGGGGGCGTGGACGCTTGCGATGAGGAAGGAGACAAGGGATGGGGAAGAGAAGGGGAAGGTGAATGGGAGGGAGAAGGGGATGGGGAAGAAAGGGAAGGGGAAGGGGAAGGGGAAGGAGAAGCTGGAGGGGGAAGGGAGAGGGGAACTGGAGGGGGAGGGGGTGGGGGAAGGGGTGGGGGAGGGGGAAGGGGAACGCGAAGAGGAGGGGATGGAGATGTTTGTGATCGGGGACAGGAGATGGGCGAAGTGGTGGAGGGTGAGGAACTGAGAGATGCGGATGCGGACCCACATCTGGATCCCTGGTTAGACGGACCGATCGGACGCAGCCGTGGTCGCCCAGGACGCCGCTTCACTGCAACCCCCGCCACACCTGCACAACATATTACCGTCAATATCAGCCGTTCCTCATGTACCCTACGTAACTGTATCTCAGGTACTCTGGTAAATTTTTCGCTTGAAATCACCTTAAGCAAAAAGTAATTTAAGCAGTACTTAAATTACTATTAAAGAGGGTTAAGTAATTGAAGTCCGAATTACTTTTTCATCTATTGCACTTTCTACAAACTAGTTTTGGCTAGAAATGCAAGATGTACAGCAAGAAGTCCTTGGGTATGGCATCATCAGGAACTTCATGCTAGTGAATCAGCCAACAGAATTATGAAATGCGAGCAATGTGGAAAAACATGTATGCTGCATCCACCTTTCCTAGGTAGATACAGAGGGTATTCAACCTCTGTACCAGAGCAAATGAAGCACTTAGAATAGTATTTGATAGTGCAATATTCACTTCATAAGTGATAGACAATGCTTATGCAATAGTTAACTATACTTTAGTGGTACAATTAATAAATCCATATCTAATGTGAGCAGGAAGAGATTCTCATTTCTCATTCTCTTACCATTGGGAGTGGGAGTCTCAGGATCTGGGATCCGGCGAGAGAAACTGGATCCAGATCCTGGTGGACGTCCTCGTCTTGACCCAAGTCCCCTTCCACCTGTGACAAGCAAGCCAAATGAGTTCATAGAACACCAGTACATTTGTTCACTTCAGCTCCATCAAGCATTGCCCCAAGCCCATTCCTTTATCCATCTATGTGAGTCCTGAAATGAGAGACTTAATTTTCCTTTCCCTGGAGGGAGGGGGGTTAATCTGAGAAAACATGTAATAAAATAATGGTCCTCGCTTGACCCCATGCGATTTTAAAATTTACTAAACTGTTGCTTACAAAATGACTGAATAATACAGAAAAGTACAATTTGGAGATTCCCCTCATCCCTCTCCTCTCTCGATTAGAGAAGAAATCAAGGCACATACTCTATTAGAGTCAGTGGGAGAGAGAAAGGAATTTCCAGAGGACTCTTGAAATGAGGACGATTCTCCATCATGAAGGATTTCAATCAAGGCCATGTTTAAATTTCAGGTACAGGATGATATGAAGATGGGAATGGGCTCCAGTCATGCATGGATTATCATGAGGCCAATTCACCTTATTGGGATGACCTTAAAAAGGGATGACTAGAGGAAACTAACTTACTTTTCATGGTGTTCAGCCCTGCTTCCAGAGTTTCTTGAATGAGAAAGACACCATGATGAGCCAGGGTGTCCTATTAAAATTGAGAAAAAAAAGAGACAATTAACATTTTTATTTTTTCATACAGTTGGTGACACTTTGGATTGATGATACAGATTGAGAACCATTTTTCTTGCCATCACTTTCCATGTTTACTTTACAATGATTCACAACTTCAACAATTACATATCAATTGTAAATGCCTCCTGGTTTTTGGAAGGCATTCTTATCTAGGTGGCCATAAAATTTACCAAGGCATCAAGGGTGGATTTTACTGAATGCCTTTCTGCAAAGGTATATCATTCTCCTTTGGTATTCCTCATATGCATTCCTTCTATGTCTTCTGCATCCATACATGTATTGCAAATGTTGCTGAATATTCTCTGTAATACTACATATTTCTTAAATTCTACTTCTGTTATACACATACAGTATATATTATATATATTTAACTTTACCTCACTTGTGACTTGTATAATACTCCCTTTTTTCATTTGTTTTCTGCTTCTCTGTTAAGGGTAACAGAAGCTGACTATTACGTTTTTCTTGATGAGATGGCAGCACAGATGCTATATTGTACACATTTCATAGAGCAATTTGCATTTAGAAAGAGCCTTTATTCTAGCCAGTGAATAAGTAATACTTCCTGCAGCATATTTGCCTGCACAAAGAACTCACCTCAGGAGTGTGAGAGAGAGACAGAGGATCCTGGTTCTTTGATCTCTCATTGGCACGCAAGGAAAAGGACTTCTTGGGAGATGAGGCTTCTGTTTCAGTGTCCAGAGCCCCTGCCTTCCTCTTCTTCTGCTCCTCTTGTCTCTGACGATCTATACGAATGGCAAACAAGAGAAGGCAGGATCTTAATCCTCCTTTCCTCCAATTAAGATGTCAAAATCATTTTTGGGGTCTATTTCTAAAGACTTCTTCATTCTTGCTCAATCTCAAATCAATCTTTACTTAAGCTCAACAAAATCCCCTTCATGAAGCTTCTCATCCAAAAACCATTAGCACTTCAAGCTCACTGTGATGATAATTGTGCCAATTGCACCCTGGGGTTAATATCCATATGTACTTGTTTTTGGCACATGATGGTAAGATTGTTGAAAGCTTACTGAAGAATAGATACAGGAACGAAAATTAAAAATGGTAAAAATATAAGATTTCCTGATTTTGCACTGTAATGAGGCCAATTATGCTTGGGATGCAATGACCCCACAAGTAGAACCTTTTCGAATTTACTTAAATGTGCTAATCATCCTCCAGAGCATTAATTGATGCTATTGCAGTAGAGAAATTGAATGCATCAAGCCATGCTTCACACAAAAAATATTGAGGATACGCTAGTAACATTAATGGAACCTTTTGGTCAGAATCAGAGAACCTAACAATCCAAAAGTGGGACAAGTAATTTAAAAAAGGGGCAACATTCCATTCCCAGTTGGGAAGTCCTAAACTGTCTCTGTATCAAACAAAACCCCATAGTTAGTCACATTTTTTGTTTCAAGGTGACAGGAGAGTGACTATGCATTGCTAGGGGCATATTAGCTACAGACCACTAAGATAGACTGAATGGACATGAAGTCTAGAAAAACTTTAAAGTGGAGGAATAGAACTTTGGAAGTTTCTTTACTTTTCTTCATTTTCAGTCAAGTTTTGAGTTAAGTATCTTCATGAATGCAAACAAAAATTTAGAGCTCAAGTAAAGTTAGATAATAAGAAAGCTACTCCACACTGCATAGGAGCAGAACAGATGAACTGATGTTTGCTACAGGAACATCCAACATAATTTTACTTCACAGTTTTCCAACACCGATTCAGACAAATTTTCTCCACATTCCATCTGAAGGATTTCAGGTGGATTGGAGAAGAGAGAAAGGATCAAAATATGGTTACTTACATTTCCTCTCAATCTCTTCATCATCAAGGAGCAGGGAGACAACTTCCTTTGGTTTCAAAGTGTCTGGCTTGAAATTCCCTCCACTGATCACCATTCGCTGGATCTGCATTAGGAATCAACATATGCCAGTCATTTGAAACATGGAGTGGAATTCAGATTCACAGGAGGAATCACTTTCATGGTACAATGACAAAGAAACCAAATACCTAATCACCCAAGTAGGAATATAAACCTTCATTGAAAAATAGTCTATAATGACAACCCATGAGAGATTGCCATCCTTATTGATCCATTTCCAGTGATGGTTCTTTTTAATAATTATTTTAATAATAAAACTTATGTTTAAATTTATTTACTTAAAAAAACATCAAGTTTCTGTATGTCACATTTTTTTCATTTGCCTTTGCCTTTCCTGACATGCTTTTCTCTAAAGTCCTACATCCAGCACGTCAATGGATTTGATTTTTCTCCTGTTGCTTTTGATGGACCCATCCATCAAAGAGACACATTTGACTTCCTTAATTCCAAATATGACTTGGAAAACCTATAGTTTTCTTTCACATCACCACATTCATGACTTGCACACCATGCCAAATACTGTTCCCTTCACCACTCATTCTTAAATGATGCATAGTTTCACAGGATTCCCATAATACTTTTGAGGATCAGTTTCTCTGACTGAAATTTTTATTTTCATTCAACCCCTTCCAAAACTACTGTCAAATTTCTTCACTTATCCCTGAAGATATGGCAAATGCAGCTTTTCATTTTCCAGCCATTTTCTACCATTTAATTAAATGTTCCTGAACCTAACCCATTTTCATTTCCCTAGATTTCCAGATTTTTCATGAGTTTGGTAACAGCCAACATATAACTTCAAAGAATAACTCAGATGCAGGGAATAACTGACCTCGCTTTTTTCCCTGGCCCTTTGAAGGATCCTCTCTTCAATGGTCCCCTTGCAAACAAGCCGATAAACAGTGACTTGCTTTGTCTGCCCCAACCGATGTGCTCTGTCCATTGCCTGTTCATCCACTGTTGGATTCCAGTCACTATCGAAAAATATCACCTGTGGTACAGAGAAGAGGAGAGAAGATTTATGATTATCTGTAAAAATCAAATTTAAAAGTATCACAAGAAAAAACCTTGCTTGAAAGAGGCAGAGAAAGAATACCCGAGAGGAAGTTAAATCAGGTTTTTTTTTTTTTCATGCAGGTTCCCCTGACACAAAAACAAACTTCTCATGGTTAGAGGGTTCATGCTTAGAACTATGAGCATGCAGGTATTTTCTTCATGAGGTCTCCATCTTTATAAGACCCCAAAGGACATAATTTTTGAATGGTCAAAAGGAGATTCTCATCTGGGATTTGAAAGCAGGTAAGGGTTTTTTGTGCATAAACTGAAAGACTCAGTGTGCTTTTATGAAAAGTCACAGACGACCTAGAACTATCACAATCAATATAAAATGAACCATAATCAATTTTAAACTTTTGTAAATCAGGATACTAAAGCTGTTGAGAGGAAGGCACAAGGGATAGAATTTAAGGGGTAGAGGGTAGGCTTAGTTAAGGGGGTGTTAAGAGGTAATACCATGGTGATGCTCCTCCAGAGTACCTATCAACATTTTTTTTTTAAAAACACAAGTTCAATCCATGAGGAGAAGGATCCCTTCATTGGATCAAAACTCCCCGAGAGCTGCACTACCGGGTCCACCCAAAGTTCTGGAACATCAATATTCTTCTTTGCTTGTGTGGTTGCAGGGAGAAGGAAAAATGTTCCAACAATTTTTTTAGTTTGTTTACTCTGTCGGCTCCGCAAAAAAACAAAATATTTGATTTCTCCTAGAAATGGAGGCCAAAAGAGAGGCAGTTCTGCAGCTGCACAATGGTAGAAAGCATCCTGGCAAGATTGTGAGGGGGCCTTGCCATCGACAGGAAATTCGTTGGGAGGACCCTGAAATGGTTCAGTGAGACAGGCTCAACTGCTGACTGTCCGAGGTCCAAACATACCCGAGGCCATCAGGTCTATCAGAGACAAGATTTGTTGGAATCCACAGAGGAGCATGACCTAGATCAGTGGTTCTCAACCTTTTTGGTCCCACGGACCACCTTAACAACTACAAAGTGATCCGAGGCCCACTCCAGACTAATGGCAATATAATTTATTTTGGCTTACTTTAGTGAGAACGTTGGGCTTGCACATCGCTCACTAACTTGTCAAATCTTGGCTGAATGTTTGATATGGCCACACGTACGTTTGTTGTTACGTCAAGTCGATTTCTGGCTTTCGTCTTCATACTTGTCATGATGGAAAAGGCTGACTCACAGAGATACGTTGACGGAAAGGGCAAAAGTCGCTTAATAGCTTTCTCACTCAATTTTGGATATTCCTTGCTCATCTTCGACCAAAACGTGGGTAGTGTTAGATTGGAAAGTTCTTCTTTCAGGGCTCGATCGCTTGTGAGTTCAATGAGATTGTCCTCCTCCAGTGCAGACAGTTTATTCTCTGGGTTTCCACAGTGGGTGAATGGATCGAGTACCCACATGTAGCCTGTCCGTGGATCGTCTTCAGGAGGAAAGTAATCTTCGAATTTCCGAAGAAGCCTTTCCAAGTGTTCTGAAATGATCTTTACGACATGCTTCTTCTTGAATTTTGTGTTNTTTATGAGAGCTCATTAATATGGTGCTGTCATCCGCTTTTCGAACCCTCGGAAAGGGACCTGGAGGCCATCAGTGGCGGGCTTCGTGTCAAACGATCTATTTAAATCTCTCAAATCATTCATACGTGATGCCTGCCTCCTCCCCTAGGATCAGCCACACCCCACTGTCTGGCGGAGGGGTCAAAGGGGAAGTCCCCTCTCCCCTCAGAAGAGAGAAAGACAGATGACATTTAACGACCTCTTTGAGGATTAAAAGTGTAGCACGGTTGGACCGGATAATCTGTAAACATTGTCCACTGAAAGATGGCACGATAAGGACAGAATCCCAGGCACACAGATTGCAAAGACGAAAGGGTTTCAGTCTTTTCAGGCTATCAGTAATGATAATGTACATCTGGTACTATACTAAGTAAATTTTTATTTTTTTATTTAGTGATACTCGTCACGGCCCACCTGGGGCACCTCCGCGGCCCACCAGTGGTCCGCGGACCACCGGTTGAGAACCACTGACCTAGATGACCAAGGAGTCCGGCATGGGTGCTATGACAAAGGCTGCATCATCTTCATGGAGCAAACCTTAAAAAAGAACTGACCATAGTTCCACAGTCAGTTCCAATCCCAAAACTTATGCCAAGCATGAACTTTATGGAAATTCCAATTTTGGAAGATGGATAGGAATGGATGGAATGGATACATCATAACAATCTGACTACTGTGGACAGGAGAGTTGAGAGAAAGCAAGGGATAGTTAAGGAAAGGAAAAGAGAATAAATTGAATTGACCAAGCCAAGGGAGCCAATAAACAGTAGAAAGGTGAGCTGGTAGTTTGACTCAAACGAGTGGAACTTCCACTTCACGCTGCATGACCCCTATTGAAAATGAAGTTGACCTCAATCTTGATCTGTTGGGACACATGGACATGCATAGAGATTGAAAAGAAGTGGGAAGCATTCATCAACAGAAAAATGCTAGTTGTACTTGATTGAGCCTTTTACAGTTACAGGTGTAGTGAGTAAGCATATATTTGGTTCATCTTTGGATACCATCCATGCCACTAAAACAATCAAGCAGTGGGCAAGGTTCAAGGGCAATACTTATGCCTTACATACTCTTTTAAAAATGAGTTCTGCATCACTCGTTGACAGGCATTCTTTACACAATATGAAATTAATACAATATGAAATGATAAGAATGTAATGAGACATTATCATCACATGTATCTTTTCAATACTTTGTGAAAACCTGTCCAAGTCTATTTTTTGGTGAGGACAACTTTTGTTTTAATTTATAAATTAAGAATTCTCCAGGAATCCTCAATGGATCAAACTTACTTAAGTCGCCCAGGCTTTTTTCCAGTCACCTTAACACGTTGACGACCAGCCTATTTTTGCTTGTCCGCCGCATGGGACCACGCGCATTTAAAAAAAAAAAAAGCGTCCTGCCATCAGGACGCATGGTCCCAGAAAACATTTTTTTGCCGAGTTTTTTTAAAATGTTGAATTTTTTGGCATTTTTATCAGTAATTACGAAATCATAATCTTCTGGAACGTTCTCAACAGTTCCAGAGGGTATTCATTGAAAATGAAATCTGCATCTTGGCATCAGGACACATTGTCGCCAACGTGTTAAAATACCAACTCCAAATGCATGGTGAAGGCGAAACTGATAGCATCAAACAAGGTAAACTCACATTTTCTTTAAAAAAAAAAAAAGGTTGTAGAGGGAAATAAAATGCCTCAAAAGAGAGTTAAATGGAATGAGTTCCCCATGCAGGCAATAACCTCATTTCCAAATTGGAATCTCCATTAAAAGGAGCTTGAAAATGAAATTATGACAGGATACACTACCCTCCCAACAACAGAGCTTGTATTTGACCCACATTACATTTTTGGAATCAAGCAGGTGTGATGCATTTCCAGAGATGATCCAGGACTCTTACAAGGTACTAGAGTTTGCACTACATAACATGGACAATCATCCTAAATGCATATTTGTGAAAGCATAAAAAGGCTTACAGTGTCAGCTGCAGTGAGATTAATGCCCAAACCTCCTGCACGTGTGCTGAGGAGGAACACAAAGATATCGGACCTAGGAGGAAGGAAAAGTCAATGGTTAATGGTCAATGCACTTTCAAGGATTACTGGTTATGTTTGAAGGCAAGACATACAGAATGTGATTGGTCTATACATGGTGTTTGTGTGTTTGTATTTAAACACAACATAGGGAAACTTCTGGCACCTGTTTGTGGAGTTCAGTATGTGCCTTACAGCACACTGAGTTGCATATCTGGAATCTATGACTGGTGTGTTTCCTTGCAGATAGGTAACTTGGTGGGTCTTACAACATTCACCGACCTCCACCAGACAGCAAAATATTCCCTCTTTTGCATTTAAATATGAACACCCTGTATGGTTACACTAGTAGAGTTACCCAGCATCGCACTAATGAATATTGTATAGGTCCCATATTTGTCTGTACTAAATACAGTATCCCAGGGCAGGGCCGGATTTAGGGGCAGGTGACTGCCTGGGGTGGGGGGAAGACGCTCCTTGCCTAGGGGATGCCATTTGATCTTGGGTCAGCCCTGTCCTGGAGGATCTGAAATTTGAAATGCCACTTAGCCTATGACCATCCCTGGACCAAATGAAGAAACCATGCCAAGTTTGGTTGGACTGGGATCAGAGGCATGGCTGTGCATAAGGGAAAGACAGACACACACAAACATTCAGAAATAAAGTATAGATATTACTGGTGCTAGACCCTCTAAACACAAGGCAGCATATGCTTTTTGGTATCATATAATGCTTTAATTATATCCTAGTAAGGAAGGTCCTCACTTTTTTCCTTTACACTGAATTTCACCATTATTGAAACTTGGGAAGCAAGTTATCTGGTTATCTGATTATCTGGTTATGCTATTTGAAAGTCAGCTTGAAGTTGAATCCACTAGGAGCTTCAGTCATGTTACAATGTTGACAAACTAGTGTCAAAAATGATGTCTACCTTACAAGCACCAATAAATATATACAAGCATGAAGAAAGAGCAATTCCAGTGCTTTATTATCATACTTAGATGACTGCTAAGACTTTTCACTATACTATAGGCTTATTGGAAGCTATTACCTTGTTCTCATCTTGTAGCAAAAATATAAATCCTGCAGGCAATTAATTAGATCAAGTATCAATATATATTAGTAATCTCTATAAAAATTATCACCATGTAGTAACCAGACACTTGATACTTTTAGCATAACAAAGTGTAATTTTAGTTTGGCACCTATGATTTCCTGTGATTTAAAGATATTACAATGCAAGGACAGTTTGATAAAATTATAATCATACTTTTCATGAATGATGTCATGACTCACCGGGTCTGAAAATCAGCAACCATGTCCCGTCGATCAGATATCTTGGAAGACCCATCAAGTCTCATGTACCTGTGGTTGCGATGCCACATGTATTCCTGCAAAATAAAGCAAAGCACCACCTGATTGCAGTGTGATGTAGCAACCAGTGGAAGTATGAGAATTCATGACTCCCTATATTCTTTGATCCAGGCTTTAAATCCATGTTGCTGTTATATCCCTAAATCTATGTCTGAGAGGCCAATAAAACTGGGATTGCTTGTTGCAATTGTCTTGAATTTCTCCCAGACATCTTAAAACCAGCAAAAGCTGAACCTTAAACATTGTTATGCATGTTTCAAGTTTGGGTGAATCACAGACTGTACTAAAGAGAATCACTTGCCTTAACCATATTTAAGAGCAATTGCAAGTGTAATTCACTAACTGATATTCACCTTATATAACATCAAAACATTAACCATTGGATTGCTAAGCCCAAATATACTCATTTTCAAACTTTCATTCCTGGGTGCCAGGCCCAAAAAAAAAAAAAACAGGCAGTCAAAGGGTTGAATTGCTATACCCAAAGACAAACATATTCTATACATCCCACTGACATATATGTGATGCAACTTTCCCTATTTTAAATTGAATGGTACATGACACAATTTAATAAATTTTTCTCTTTTTTTTTGTCCAAGTGGACATATTCCAGCAAGTAGTTGGGCTGGAAATTGTGAATTATTTGAGCAACATCAACCCAGCTCAATCACACGAGACAAGAAAGATAAAAGGAGGGTAAACTTTTTATCTCAGATTTCAAGCAGTTGTCCACTGCTAGGCTGGACAAAAAAAGAAAGAGCCACAACACATGATAGTAAATACATATGGAAGATTACTGCATAAAGGAAGTAAAAATATGGAAAAGGGGGTGAGTTGGGATGCCTTATTGGAGGTCCATATGGGAATAAATCAGAGTTACTTTCCCAGCAACTTGACCCTCTAGAGATACATCATCATGATCAAGAAAACACAAATACTAAAGACCAATAGACCAACTCAAGAACCTGCTTAACACCATATAATATTCTGTCTCATACCATGCTAGCTACCTGCTGAGTATCATGGTATTGATCACATAGTCTTAACTTTACTATTGGCTATTGACACCCTATTGGCTGAATGAAAGTTTCAGTCCAGGTATCTATCCAAATTCTAATAACTCTGGGCCTTCACTTTTGGACTACTTTAGCCAATTGTGAACTGATTATGGATGTCACCAAATGACTTTGTCTCTACTGTGACTCATACTGAGCTGCCATCACTCTATCACTTTTGAGTCCTAAAGGTTTTCTTTGTTTACACACAAAGCAACCAAAAATTAGCAGGAATTTCCCAGACAAGCCATAGCTCTCCTTTTGAGAAAATTCGTTTCATCACCCATAATCCATGCAAGCACACATAGAATACAGTATAGACATAAAACCAAAACAAGCTGAACAAAAAGCCTGCAAAAAGAAGTAAAAGAATAGAGCATTACCTCAAGAATATCAATCATCCGGGTCATCTGAGAATAGACAAGAACACGGTGTCCTTGAGATTTGAGCCTTGCAAGCAGCTGATCCAAGACTCGCATCTTTCCAGAATCCGCCACAAGAGATTCCAAAGCTGTGGGCATAAGATAATGTTTATCATGAGTTTGTAACTCTTAGGAGACTCTACATCATCCTCATGAAAAAATACATGAGCAATAATCCTACATCTGAACATGATTGGGGGTGCATTTATGCTTTAGGTATTCCATGCACACAATGGAACAATCAGGGGGTGACTCAGGAATTGATAAATCAATGGAAATTTAGTCATCTAATTTTGGGAGACAGCTTGATTTTACATTCAAAACAATCACAGAAAGAACCCATGGAAATTTTGTTGTTTTTGACAAGCTATTAATGCACAACAAAAACCAATCAGAGTCATGGTTATTCTTAAAAGGGTGTCACATTCAGAACAGGATGTTTTGAGGATATTACATTCCAGAGTAATGAGAACAATACCAGTATCAAATTTTTTATGAAAAAAAAACTTGGCTAACAAAGGAAATACTCTTGGCCATTCACACCTGGTGGAGTGATAAAGGACCATCCATGCACAGGAGTGTCAGCATAGATTCCTCCAAGGGGAGAGTGACGAAAGCTCTGCCATTGTCTTATTCTCCTTTTGTGCCAGGGCATGAGTGAGACATCAGGAAAACCAGTGAGGATACAAGCCCTCTCTTCTGAGTAACCAACTTCAGCACGAAGGGATGCCCAAGCAAAGGACCGATCACTGCATACAACTTCCACTGGAGGACTCACAACCTGCTCCCATGAGTGAATGAATTAGAAAGCCAGCTGGCAAGTGAATGAAGTTTCTTGAATCTCAATGAAGCCACAATTTATCAATTCCTGAAATAGCTCATTACCTTATACCCTGACCAGAAGAGATCTGCCTATCATTCCAATTTTGCACCAAGAACCTACAAGTACTTGATACATCCAAGAAAGATGGACTATGAACAAAAGGCAATTATGGTCAATTGAAACATAATCCCCTTGAGATAAATGAGTAATTTTCCTTAATTTTTCCTCAGCTAGGAGCAGCTTCTAAATAACCTGCATCAATCTTACACATAGGGTCAGATTATCTTCTTGTCTTAACACATTTATAAAACCATGTAGAAGCACTTCATATACCCTATCAGGTTAAGTGCCAAATTAATATTTTTTTTAATGCACATTTTTACTTAAAAGAAAAAGCTAAAAAAAAAAATCCCAGAAGGCACCATATAGTGAATACACACATCAATACCAAGGGCATAATATTCTCTATGGCTGGATAATGGGCTTCCAAGGTGGTCCTCCAGAAAATCTAAGCTCAACATCAAAATATCATCTTTTCTCCTTCATCTGAATGATGTCTTTGGTGTGTGACAATGAAATGTGAGGATGTCTGAAGGATTGAAGACACATTATTCTTCATGAACAATTATCAATCCCAGCTTCTCAAGAAACCCTCAAGTGAGAAAGTCTTGGTTGCTTCAAGTGAAATGCTTGGGATAAAAACAGATGTGGTACTGCTGAGTCTGCTTTTTCATTTTGAAGAGAGGATGAGCATGTTGGAGGGTGTCAGAAGAAAATACAAGAAATGCACTGCTCACTCAATTGTTAAATAAAGAATCTCAAAATATAATTTCTCTCTCATGATAGGCACGATTATCCAAAGAAATTACTGGGTCTATGGGGATAAAGGAGATCTTAAGACAAGGTTACCTTTGGACTGTGGCGAAATGTCCACGATGGAAAGTGAATCCTCTGCAGTTCAGACTCTTTTGGGGGCCTTGGAAGGTGAGGAAAGAGATGGCACACATTCTGGCTGTCATCCTCTGTCATCATCTGTAAATCCCATATACTTTTCTAAGAATGCATGAGCAGTGTCAAACATACCAGCAATAGGTAAATTGTGTACCTTTTCCTGTTCTAACATGAGATCCTCACTCCTGTAAGACCGTTTCTGAAGGCGCAGAAGGCGATGCTCCACTGTTTCTGGGATGTAGTGGAAGAGTGGTCGGTCATGAGTGTGGAGGTGCTCTGTATATGATGTGAAGACAAGATGTGAGAGGACCACAGAGTCCTCTATTTTCATAGGACTCAGGGGACTTTCCACTTGCATTATGACCAATGGAAGGTGGTTCTGATTCCACCAGAATCTCTTGTGAATTAGATTTTTCAAAAGGACCTGACACTTCAGGAGTAGGAGCCACCTAAATGAATAAAGAGAGAAATCCTCAATTCAGTGAACACAAGTATAATTTGTGTCTCAAGACAAAAATTGTCCTCAAGACTGACCATAGATATTCACACATCCAGCCTATCTGTAGCAGGGTTCACACTAGATTTTTTAAATCTTGAGTCCTGGCACCTAACTTCAACTCAGTGGGAACATGTTCAGGTGGTTGTCAATGAGTCCCCATGGACTTAGATTAGATGTCTTGCAAATATGAGTCCCTCCAAGAAAATATGAGTCAGGAACTCGCTATAGTGAGTTAACGTGAACCCTGTGTAGGTAAATATCAAACTGAGATAAATGCAGACAATTTCAATGAAATGCCAGCTGGAATTTTAGCAGAAACAATCTTGTTTTAACATCTCACCTTGTTCCCAATATTGTTACACTAGAACAATATCAATCTACTCAACCCATTTTGTAATTATAACACTGCAACTAAACCAAAGCAATGACAAAAAATCATTTTGAATGAGACTATAGGGTACAGTGAAAAATAATCAGACCAAAGTTCCCACTTGATTCAGGTCATTGATGACATTTAGAACATCCAACTCAATTGTCTTAAAAAGCATTGAAATATTTCATTTCAATTCAGAGTAACATTAAATTCTATGAGGGAGACTTCAAACTCACTTCTGCAGAAGGCCCTGAAGATGAATCAGTCTTAGTTGTTGTGGTGAAACTCCAATGAGATGGGCAAATGAAAAGCATCGTCCTACTCTTTCCTCCCCTGATGCTCCTTGTTAAAATGATTGGGGAAAAAAAAATACAAATTCAAACAACTGTATCAAAGCAAACTTGTATAATCCCAGCATAAAACACTATTCTCAGCAAGACCAACAAGACATTTTCAAATTCTTGAAGGTTCAAAATCCAACTTAAATTTGGTAGTATAAATTTCTGCAATTAGGAAAATCCAGTATCCTCACTAGGTATTTCTCACATTTTGCAATCTAATGTGGCCTTAAATACAATTATCATTAATTTTGTGATCAGTGAAATACTTTAAGAGAATATTAGGAATGCCAAAAATGAACAACCCAACATATATATTTTTGTGTGCTCATTTCTAACAATATGCAACCTCATATCAATAAACTGTATCTGATTAAAATGGAAGGAAATTCAAGCGAGATTGGTGATAGTTCCAGTCAAGGCCTCCTTAACTCTCTCTTCCCTGCTGCTTTGGTAGCTTACAACATGAATAAGAAATCTTCACTGTCTTGGCACCCTTGCAAGTTTTTCTCATATTAAAGTCTCCAATAAGAACTATACAGTACCTGTTGATATTCATATAGTCCAAACTCAACTTTCCACAGCTATTCAAGAATGAGGATGGCCAGACTGCAAACTCAGGATTGTTCTAGACTAGCTACAATTAGTTTTTTAGAAAGGTAATTTTTTTGGAAGCAGTCATTGATATTGATTTGCAATAGCTTCTCAAGACTCCTCGATTAAAGTAGGTCTATCCTTGACCTAATGATAGCAAATCAGGATAATCTGGTGCTTAACCCATGAATGATGAAATTAAAAGTTTCATTATAATAAATAATGCATTAGTGAACATGGAGAAAAAGGTGTTAAATATAGGAGGCATTTACCAAATTATAACCAGACTATGACAATAATTAGCTCAGGTAAATTGCATAAAAAGCTGGATCAAGGTAAAAATCATTGTCATCATTATCAAGCACCTTTTGTTCACTGCTGGATAAAGGCCTTCCTACATATAAGCCATATTATCCTGTCCTGAGCTGCTTCAATGTGCCAGACTTTCAGGCTATACTGAGAGATATGAGGTAAGGTAAATTTGAATAATTTTTTATATCTGTGTGAAAAATGTAAATCTTGCACATCTTATAGATAGTTCACATTTTATAGAGAAATATACTTCATCAGAAAAATCAAATTAAAATTGAAAAGGGTGAGATTCAGGTAGTACTTCAACAAGAACCATTACATATATAGGCCTGAATGTACAAACCTCATTTAGGCAAGATAAAGGGGTCTTTAAGCTTAAGAGCTCTTTTCCCCCCATAGGATTCCATATATTCTCAAAGGACTGTTAACTAAAGGAGGTTTAAGCTTTTGGGCCATATACTTTTTCCATCATGTAGGGTAAGCACCCCGGTTTCTGGCCGGTCTCCAGTTGTTGGTCAGTGAGGCTCAAATCCAGCATAATTAGTTAATCTGGTCATTTTCAAGCATTCTATCAACATCTTCCCATATTAGGACCTATTACTAGTGTTTCCCAGTGTGCGCACAGGGTGTCCACTTCCTATGGGAGTTGTATCAGCATGGCCAAAAACTGGGGTGTTTACCCTATTCTCTTAGAATAATCATCAATATCCCATATGCTGGCAACATGCCAGGTGATTAAAAAGGTGGCCCATGTACCACAACCCATCAAAGTATCATTTTTATCATGAAATTATACTGGCAATATGGTTTTTATATAAAACTACTCCTTCAGTCATTTCACTATTGAGTGAGTTGATGCACATAAATGAAGCTAATCAATGTCAAATGTGAATCAACTATAAAAACACTTGTATCAAATTTTCTCACCATGACATATATCATTGTGGATATGTAGAGGATTCCAAATTGACAATTGCTCATGGAGCAACTGACGCCTCCTAAGCAGATCTGAATCTAACAATGCATCTCTATACACCAGCTTTGGCAGGCGGATGGGTGGCAAAGTGAAGTAAAGAGGGGATGTTGTGTCTCGCCTTTCAAACAGTTCTGGATGATTGCACACCTGCAACAATATGAAAGGCAATCATAGACATATTCCATCTTGAAGAGTTTAATACAGTTGACTCTTGGTATAACAGACATGGATAAAACAAAAAATATATACCAAAATCCTTGACATTGCCCAGTTGCATGTCCATTGACACACATGCTAAAAAATTCAGATGTCTTGATATTGGACATACCAAAGTGTCAGATATAATGAAAGAATTTCAGTGTTCCAAGACAGAAAGAACACTGGATATAATGCATTTTACACATTGAACATGTTAGCCTCCAAGTAATTTTTCTGACACTTTAACAGCAAGACCATGAGATCCACCTGTGGGACTTGCAGCAGCTAATATGTTAAAAGTACTAAAATTAAAGTACAGAAGGTCACATGTTGGTGGTAGGGGTAATGCCTTTGAAAGTAAATGAACATGTTTCTATGAGTTTATCACTCGTGGGACCAGAAAATGCCTTTAAATTAAAAATAAATGTTATTTCCAATTATTCATATAATAAGGTATATTGCTATCCTCTCAGATGGGGAGGGTCAATGATTTCAAAATACCTGATACTTTGAACTATCTGATATCAAATTAATGAGGTTTTCCTGTAGTGAGTTTTAGAATATATTCACCTCTGATCAAGAACATAGAGACTGAACCCATGCCTCTGACCTCCATTCCAGGTTCCAGAGACATTTAATATCTTTCTCTCCCTTTTAGAAATGATTTCCACACTGTCAGGATGGCAAGAGTGCATGCAAAAATTACATGAATAATGCCGACAAACCTTTCTAAACTGCATGACGAGATTCATGAGACTCTGTGCCTGAGCAGATGCATTTCCACCAGAATAAAGGAGATCATCAATACGAATCTTCTGTTTAAGAGCTGAATACAGAAGCCTCTGTCTTGTGGTCATTGGACACTCAATCAGTACCTCAACCTTGTCAGAGAGTTCATGCTCCACATCACGTTTCATTCGGCGAAGCATGAATGGCTTCAGTATCAGGTGCAAACGGGATAGATGCTCTGAAACCATAATGAGGAATCTCCAATTTGAACTCCACAAAAGAAAATCTTACATGATAAAAAAATACATGAAGGCAAATAAGAACTCACTCTCATCAATGGTACTGCGATTTTCTGCATGCCCTTCAATATCCTTGGAAAACCAGTCATTAAATTCTGCATGAGAATCAAAGAGAGATGGCATGATGAAATGCAATAGAGCCCACAGTTCTGCAAGGCTGTTCTGCACAGGTGTTCCACTCAACAGGAGGCGATTTCGACATGAGAAACTCAACAGCATCTTCCATCGTTGACTGCAAAACATTCAATAGATTTATTTCATTAGATGACAATGCCACTTAATTTAAAAAAAAAAGCATAATCTGAAGAAATATCAAAGGAAATTGAGTTTCATTCTTTTCATTAATAATCAATTGTAAAGGATTCCATATGCTACAGGTGCCCAACTTTCACCAAGTTGTCAGCTGACCATTTAATTCTTAGTTTACTTAGGATAATACAACTGCAATTATTACATTTGCCACATTTGTACCAAGTAGGTTAAATGTGGTCAACCTTCATTGCCTGTCTCATTGCTCCAATGACAGGGGGCTCAGGTGAGAATGTATCTTTTAGACTACTTCTTCTTGAGATCTAGAATTATACAGTTTGCAGCAGACATTCATAAGTGAAGAAAGACCTTGGTAAAACAGGAAATGATATACAGAGTCATACCTGGAGGAACTTTTGATGGCTTGTGCTTCGTCAAGTATCAGGTACTGCCACTTCAAACGACTGAAGTACTTGAAGTCAGCTATGACAAGCTGATAAGAAGTCACTAGGACATGGAAACTGGCCTGCTCTGTATGTAGCAGAGATGGGGATTGAGCCCAAAACTGCCGCAGAACTCTTCTCTCCTATTTCCACACATAGAAAATGGTTTATAATCCCCTTCTTTCAGTAGTCAAAGCATGCAAACTTGGAAATGTATTGAAACTGATCAGTACTTCATATACACGATTCCCTTGGTCAAAAATAATAACACCATGGCTGATACCATTGGAAGAACTATTGTCATTACCAGCTGTCAGTTACTGTTTCTCCTCACACCTGGCACCCTAGAGATATGAACATTATTTTAAAATTCAGTTTCTATGCTGAGTGGAGAGGTCTTGAATGGGTAAATGGGTCCATATTTGGCTGATTATAGCTAAACTGCCTCAAATGCGTTCATCAGCAATTCCCTTTGCTTTTTAATGAAAAGTTCTAAATATCTTGTAAGCAAAAGGTCACATGCAGGCAATTAATGAGGGATTGTGAAGTGAGTCATCAGACGCTGGACAGAAAGCACTATGAATGAAAATGCAACACTTCACAAAAGTAACTTCCCACTGCCAATGGAATATTGCCAAGGAATCAGTAAATGCATTTTTTTAAGTTCATCGCAGTATCAATGGAATGCAAACCTGTGGACTCCCCCAGTAGGGCACCACCTTGAAAGCTGGGAGAAATCGAGAAAACTCCTGTTCCCAGTTGTGCAGAGTGGAAGCAGGAGCCACAACCAGGAATGGACCCCAGATTCCTGGAAAATGTATATCACGCTTCAAGAGTTTTCCATTCAAAGGCATAAACACACATTCTGTGAATAATTTATCATGTCAGCATACAAGCGACACAAGATGAATCACTTCAGGGAACAGAATAATACTTTCTCAGTATTAAAATATTGGTCTTAATTCCTTCATATTTGTGCAAAAACCCTCCTCCCACCACTTTAACACAAGTTAATATTCTTTATAGTCCTTGTTGTCAAGACTTAGTGGAAAACATGGTGAAACAAATTATTCATTCTATAGATGGTCTAAAATTAACAAAAAAGCCTGCTAAGACAGGAATTATCTCATGAAGTATGGTCCTGATATCTTGCTCTTGGCAACTTGATGATATGAAGAATGAAAGTAAATGCAGAATGGGCTTCACCCCCTTATAAGAATAATGCAATGATAAATTAGTAACAATAACTGGAATTAATAGATAATCTTACTCACCATATCTCTCAGCCACATGAGCCAGAAATGCTATAGCTTGCACAGTTTTCCCGAGCCCCATCTCATCAGCAAGAATACCATTGATGCCCTGTCAAGATCAAGATAGGAAATTAAAACATTTCTGCAATATTGTGAAACAGATATTGTGAAAATGCATTACAGTCCTCAACAGTTTCCATTACACTCACATGACCAAGAGTGTTTCATATCTCTTTCATCACTCTTTTGAATTAATTCCTCATGCAGTCCCTAGATGGCAGAACAATTAGATTCTTTGATGGTTCTGAAAAAATCTAATGAAGAAAGCAAAGTGTGTCATGTTATTAGCACAATTTCAGTAAGAAATGAAAATAATGAGTTTTAGCAGACCTGTCATAATGTCACCCACTGAAACAACAGAGGGTAATAAAAATAGACCTTTTCATTAGATGCTATGGGAGGAATCTCACATGCAGCCTTTTAAAATTCTGCAACATTTTCTAAACACCTTGTACAATACAAGAATACTGAAGAAGCTACTAAGATAGAAACAAGACATCTGAGTGAAATTGAATTCTGATGGAAAACTCTCTAATAATATGCTTCTTTCAATGCTTCGTTAAATTTTTTTGTTCCCTCCATGGAAATAGCCTTGAGGGTCAATTGTAAAGCTAAGATGTAACAATAGTTTAAATATTTTTTCCTTCCACTATCTTCCTCAAAAATCTTCAAAAACATGTTGCTTGACGTTCATAGCTGTTTAGCCTGTGTATGTATGTTGTGAGATACCCTGTACTGAATAAAACTTAAAAATTAAAAGTCATCAGCTCTTGGACAGCTTTTCCAATATAGATTATATTCAAAATGTATGACTAACAATGAAAAGGTAATTTTATGAACAAGAAGTCTCACATGGAGAATGGAATGTTTAAAAACAGCTGGGAATTTTTTCTCATCTCCAATTTCTTTGTTATCGCACTCATCTTGCAAACTCACTTTTGACTCCCATGGCACTTTAGAAATAAGTTAACTCAGTAACTCAGTTCACATCAAATCCATTCCAAGATGAACTAGGCATGGAAAAGTGAAATATGAGTTCTATTGTGTGGAAAGCTTCAGACTTGAGTTACCATCTTGGTAAACAAATTTATCCAGTCAGAAGTAGGGTATTGCTTCCAGTAGGGACACGGTCCACATCTCAATTCTTTCCATTACCAAAGCTACTTCAACAGGGATAATCATAAAAAAAGCAGTAAGATAAGTCTTCAATGTCACTGCACCTGGTCATAGAGGCTCACAAGCCAATTCATTCCTTTCAGTTGATATGCCTTCAACTCTCCAACAAAGAAGTTGGGCTGAGGGAATTCCTCAAACTTCTCTGAGGCTTTGCTGAGATCTGCTGAATCCATGACTGCTGCAGGATTAAACTGGCGACTCAGGCTCAATTGCTCTTCATATGCACGTTCTACATTTTCTCGAGCTTCTTCTTTGACTTGCTCACTAAATACACCCAACATACAACATGTTCAACAAGGAACTAACTAGGTGAAAAAATAATTTGGTGAAATACAAGGGAGGACAGCTTCGAAAGTAAATATTCTGAAAGAACATGTATGTTTCTAAACTGATGATAAATGGCAACTCATGAAAATTTTTTATTCCAAATAGAAACACTTATCAAAATTCAGCATTATACAGGGTGTCCCAAAAGGTATTGAAACATTTAAAAAATTCTCTAAAAGTGCCTAAAATTAAATTATCAAGACATTAATGATTAAATGATTAGTAAGAGCACCTTAAACATTTTTTTGCATGCTATTGTAATTCCACATGGGTACCATTTGTGACTCTGCAGATGTCCAAACAATGTTCCTTAACACACTTCATGTAGAGTGTCAGGTATAACTGGACAGCTGTGATGATTCTGTTCTCCAGAACTTGGAGATTGACTTTTCTTGAGTAAACAATGTCCTTGACAGAGCCCCACAAGAATAAGTCCAAGGGGGTGAGAAAGAAAATCTGACACTGATTTTGAAGAGGAAAATGAGGTGTCAATGAAAAATCTGATTTTGCATGATGGTACACCTACACATTTTAGCAAACTTGTATACAAGTCCCTAGATTTAAAAATTCCAAGATCAGTGATTGGATGAAGTGGGCCCATTCCATGGCCACCAATATCATCTGACCTCACCCCATTGACCTTTTTCTTGCAGGGGCTATGTCAGGATCATTGGTTACTCAAGGAAAGTCAACAATCTCCAAGATCTGAAGAAAAGAATGTTGCAGCTATCCAGACATTTACATCTGACACTCCCCATAAGATGTGGCAAGAGCTGGAACATTTTTAGGACATCTGCAGTGTCACAAATTGTGCCCACATGGAACTGCAATGATTGGTTTTAGAAAATGTTGGAATTTAGAAATGAGTTGCTCTTCCTTTTACTGTCTTAATCGTTAAATTTGAGGCATTTCTAGATAGATATTAATTTTTTGTGTTTCCATACCTTTTGGGACACCCTGTATTGACAAAATTCAATTACAGCAAAAGCTGAATACTCTGAAATTGGCAGTTTGTTCACCCTCAATCCCTATTTACCTCTATGAACAGTGAATGAAAATAAGCCATTCAAGTAAACAATGCAAATACTCTAAATGTCAACACTTGTTAATTTTTTAAAAGATCATTTACAATTAGTTGCAGATGTATAACCACTTCATTCTACAGAGAATTTAGTCCTCTCTCATGGCTGTGACTATGCATTTCAGAATAATTTACAAGCAAATGCTGACCTGTCATAATCATCCAAGATGCCTGGCCTCTGAAATTGATCATCATCCAAATGATGAAGAATTTTTTGTTCATCATCAGCATCTTCTGTTGACCCACCAAGTTTTCTGCTCATGAAATGTGCATATAGCTCTGTCTGAGTTATCAAAAAGTTCAACTTCCTTTGCTGACGTTTCACCTATCATGAGAAAAACAAAACAACACAGCTGTTAATGAAAACACCAGGAGCTTTTTGAGGAGAAAAAAAATTGATATGCTTACTTCCATTATCTCCATGTCAATTTTGCGCTGTTCTTCTGCTTGACGTTCAGCCTTTCTCCGGATTTCCTTTTCTGCTCTATCATAGCGTTTCCAATATGCCTGCATTTCACGGGTGAGTCGCTTTGCTTGCCAAACAGTAGCATTCATTGCCTTCTGACTCTGAAAGGATCCAGGGGTTTGTCTTCATACATGCAAATGAATGAGTTCAACCAATAGAAAAACAGAATTTAACTCACCTGCATTGCCTGTTGCCTTCTGTATCTCATGCACATTTGTGCAATTTTTTTGCACTGCTGTAACCCTTCCTTTCTGATATTCATTCGAGTCTTCTGGGCCTAAAGAAAATAGCACAACTATCATATCCATTTCATATGATGATTCCTTTTTTCTAGTGATTCTTTTTGAAGTGATCTTCAACTTCGAACCTTGTGGATCTCTTTCTTGGCCATGGCAGAAAAGAATCTTTTCCGCTTTAGTACCATTTGCTCCAAAGTTGCCCTATTGGTGGCTCCAGAAGCTCCACTTGAGGCAGATGTAGAGCAATGTTCACTCCCTCCGGTGCCATGAGATTTCTTTCCTCGGGCATGGGGTTTCCCAGCAATGCCACTGACATCTGAAGTCTCCCCTTTCCCACTGCAGGCTGCATATGATCTGACAGCACCATCCTACATAAACCATGCAAAATTATTGCCATACTATGATTTATAAGATACCTCAATGATATCTTTCTTGCATCTGATTTCATAATTATTGTTCCTTGTGATTTTAATTGGAGCAAGAAGCTGTCAGCACATACTGATATTACCTCTACCATGGGAACTGAGACATGTATTCCAGATAATAAAAAAAAAGGCATACACTCAGTGATGATATAATAACATAGCCTGGTACTAAACAGGTAGCAATTCTTCACAAACACTCTAAACAAAAGGAAATAAGGCTAATCTAAACATGAGTTTCCTGTTACAAAGCATGCCTCATTAACCCTTTCACTGTTTTGCAAAATAAAAAAGTAGCACAATCCCCCCTTCATTATAAAAATTGATGCTGTTTACCTGAAAAAATGGTTTATGTATTAAAAATAAAAATGCCATATCATGAAAACCAATGAAGGTAGATGTTCCACACATAAATGGCAGCGAAATAACCTAGAAATGGTCAATGGTCAGAGCCTGAGAACATACTTTGGCTACCACTACACAAGCCTGAATATGTACTCGACCAAATAGTGAAAGGGTTAATACAGGTCAAAATATAACTGAATCTGAAAAGTAATAAGATCAAGTTACACTTCAGAACAACAGTGAGAGGTACACCTACCTCAGCCTTTTGGTGATACCGGTACTTTGCCACTTGCTCCTTCTGCAATGCATGCAGATGCAACATGGCTTGCAAGTCAGCTTCTGTGATATCTCTATCATCATCACTGTCACTGTCACCAGACTCAGAAGAATCACTGATTACCAACTTCTGTGTCCATGTTTTTTCTTCCTCTGCTCGATTGATATCGAGTAAACGATTTCTCTCATCTTTTTGTTCTAAACAAACAACATTTTGAATTAGTTGAAACCTCAATCCATAAAATTTCTGCTTGAGGAAAGATATATTCATCAGAGTTAATGTCATCCTAAGCACATTAGATAACATCTATGGAACCTTTCTTAGTAACCTACCATATTCCCTGCTACCATTTACAAATTCCCTGGTGAGCCTAGTAACTGATCCCATCCACTCTCCCTCCCTCCATACAGGGCAGATATGATAAAACAAGCATTGTAAACATTATCCACATTCATTATCAATGTGGAACATTTTAGCCACACATGGGAGAAAGCCAAAGCAAAGACCACTCACCTTCCTGAGATAAGGACACCCCATTCACCAACTTTCCCTCTTTATCATTGGCCAGAATGTCATCATCAGAGTCAGGGCTAAGTTCAAGATCACTATAATTGAAAAGATGAGTTTAGATGTGATAATGAAACCAGGACTTATAAGGTATATTTACCCTGAGGCTAGCAGCACTTTCAACATTAATTCCAGAAGCTTGAGTTTTCTACTTCTTTGATTGGTTTAAATATTGTACTTGTATGGTATAATAAATACCCAGGGTATGCATCAGGCATTAGGTAGCAAAGTCATACAGGTGAACAATGTTCGGCAGCCACATGCTGCTATAAAGATTACTCATGATTTTAAATTGCTATTTTTAAACAATTACTTGATTTCATACATGAAATACATCCATATCTAGACCAGATAATAAAGGAGACAGATAGCTGATTCAGACTCTGTAGGCAGCATGATTTACAGATTGCAATGGACCCTTAACCCTTTAAGGAGTAGGTTTTTCAACTACTGCAAGAGTCCTCGTAATGAATATATGGCAGACAGGATGGTGTCAACATGAAAATACACTGGCTTACTCCTCAAAGGGTTAAACACTATACTAGGGTCTCTGGGGCTGCAAGTAAAGACTTAAAAACTTCCATAGGATGGTAGTACTGGCAAACTCAAGTCTTTGGCTGCCTAACAAAACTAATGACAAAAACTAATTCCATATTCCTGAAGAACACATGCTACTGTAAATGAAAAGTGAGTGTATGATATGTAACGACTTTTCTTTATTTTGGTGCCTCAAGAACCTCAACACTGTGTTGGAGTAACTTTATTTTCTTTTTAGTAAAGTGTTCAAATGTAAAAAGAGGATTTTCCCTGCCTCTCAAAATACTTCTTGAAAATAGACACAGAATGCAGATGATTCATTTCATCTGGCATTTGGCTTCTAACAAATAATGAATGTATCTGGATTCAACATAGGCCTAATATTCATCCTACATCAAACCTGTAGCTATGTTGGAAGATTTCTTCCATCTGTTCCAAAAGAGGATCAAGACGGAAAGCCCTCCGAAGATGCTGAATATAGAGTGGTAGTGCAACATTGCCTCTAGAGGTGAATGCACTATCTTGTCCAGACATCTCCATTCACCTGGAACAGGAAAGGCATGCTTATTGGCTGTCCCTCATTGGGCTTTCAAAATATACAGGAAAAAAAGTAGAAAGAGAGAATCCACTGTTGAAGCTATCATTACTAATAAAAATAAATGAACTTCACAGGAACATGCAAAATGTTAGTCAGGCCACTGGATAAGGCCTGTAATTTCAATTCCATGAATTGTATTACTTAAAAGCAATGTTTGCAAATTTGGACTTCCACTAGGTAACCTCCACTTGATAAAGGGACAATTAAGAGAAGAATGAGAGGGGGGAATTTTACTACCTCTGGATTAGCTATAGAATGCCTTTAAGGAGAATGTTTCTTTCCCTTTTCCCTTGTTTTTCCAGTGCACCTCAATAAGTAATGAGTATTTCAATAATTTTAAGCATCCAATAACCCAGTCTATTCTCCATCATAGGGGCTGCCAGTCTAAGGTGAGAGTGATCTCTGAACAGTGATCTCTGAGTTGGTATTACAATTTTCTTTTCACTAGAATCAAACACTTTTCACAAAGCTCCAATGCTCATTCATGAAGCACTTCTCATTCATGGATACAAGAGTCAAGAGGAAAGCATTGTAGGACAAAATGCTGAGGAACAGAATGAACAGTTATGTGCCAATCAAATTCCTTATTATTTATATGGTGAAGTAATAACCAGCCTCCTATTATTCAGAGCTACCAAATGGATGAAGTATCAATCTAATCTTAGGTAGCAGATTATGTAGGCATGTCAACCTAGAACCTGGGGCCCAATAGCATGGTGCAGTAGGAACACAGTGAGAATCAAACAAATCTTATGGGAGAAAGCTAGAGGATCCAAACAATGTGGGTTAACCGTAATCCGGGCAAGGTGAGTCCGCTGGACTCACTACGACATATTTCGGTCTATTACTGTCTATTTTTTTAAACTATCAGGACCATTGAATAAATTGTCTGTATTATTTTAGTTACAGTACTGTTATTTATAAGAATACATACCGTAACCGCAGCAAACGGCCTTATTTTACATGAGTCTGACAGACTCACCTTGCCCGGAATAGGTTGTAAAAAAGCTTGCCCTGATGAGGGTTAAAGGAGGGGTGACTGGAAATGAAGGCACCGAGAAGTGTTTAAATGACTTTAGAAAATGGCTGAGCTGTTTAACTTTTTGAGTGCTATTGATGCCTCTGGGCAGTGTGTTACCATTAGAGCTACAAAACCTCAGCAGTGAAAGGGTTAAGTGAATGACATAACTTAGGAACTAAGTACTGGGGGGGGGGGGTTCAAAAAGTTTCCAGTCTGAGGCACTTTTGAGTTGTAATACACATTCTTCCTTTTCTCATGAGAATACAGATGTCTTTAAAGGTGGCTGGCAATATTTCACCATATATGGTGATGAGAGACAGTTAATTTTTTCTGTGCTGCCATAGAGTCTGCTGAAAGAATATGAAAATTGAGACAAAGAATGTGATCAATCTCCTAGCTGATTTTTTCTGCATAGGGTAAATGGAAAGCTGTCCCTTCAGACACTCAAAATACAAATATAAATACAACTATACAAAATACAACATATGGCTTACGGGCAGCATGTGGCCCACAAGGACCTTGCCTGCAGCCCCCATAACTGGTGGCATTATAAGTACTACCATGGCTCCTGCTCTGTTGGCCATAGCTATGATCAGCAAGACTGGCAGAAGATAGGTGGTCTGGTGGCCGTTACTATATGTTAGTAAAAATCTCAATGGCCCTCAGTCTTTTGAGTTATGCATCCCCGTTCCACGATGACACCAATATATTATTTGCCAAATTGGGATTCAGGTTCTACCACATCATCTGTTCAGTGCAAGAGTTACTACTGCCCAATTGAATAATGGGTTAAGGGTAATTGCAACTCCATGGATGCAAGATAATTTCAATCCTGCATATCACTTCCATAAATCCTTTTATAGGTCAAACTTCTTGAAAATAAATAATTCACAACTAAGTTTGGCCTGTATGAGGTAATTTCACATAGAAGGGCATCACTAAGAAAAAGCAAGTGAAAACTTCAAGAAGACCAAGGAAAGGTTATAAAAGCAGCCTCTACTCATTCATCTATGTATACTGTGCACTAGTATAAGCCCAAGAACTTTGAGATCAGGGTCTCTACTAAGACATTAGAAGTTATGAGTTTCTTTTGGTTTTATTTGAATTTCATCAATGTCAAGAAAAGAGGTTTTTCTAAGTCATGATCTTTATGATGGCATCATCACTATTTTGAGTCATCTAGGTTTCTGTGAAATTTTTTGAGTTGGAGTCATCAGTCATGTAAAGACCTCTAAGTTACCATTTGTGAATCCAAGATTTTCAATGGCTATGGATGACTTCAAGTGTATGGGTTTCTAGGCAAGGCAAACAGGATTCTTAAGTCAAGATTATTTTTAAAAAAGAAATAAAGGAGCGGGGGGGGGGGGGGAAAGAAAGAAAAAGTAATGAGAAGGCAAGTGATTTGAATGAGGGAAAACTTCCCCTCCATTTATATTAAAACCATTTCCAAAGGCTTGAAAATCAGCCAAGTATAGCATATACTGTTTAGAGCCTGTTGTCTCATTTTTTGGTCAGTGTTTCTATGATTCACCTAGCTAATGTAGGATTTAAGTATGGTGGCCCAAATTTCTCCTTAATGCAACTAGGGGGGCCATTTACTCAATATAGTTATAATAGGGGATGGCAAAAGCAACATAAAACAAAGATTATCCAAAAAGAATTCACTTTGAACCCGTTTAAAATGTAAATTTTGACATCTCTTATTCCTCGAATAGAACAGGATTCAAATATTTATTCTTAATTCTCAAAAGTGCCATTTTTCCTGTTAGGTAAAGAACAATTTTGTTCTTTTCACATTACTATTTTGACATTTAAAACCTAATGCAGAACACAAAACCCTTGAAGCTAAAGCCAAGAGTGTAACTGGCATTATATTGTATTAGATTCAGAAGGCCTAGGTCACTCTGGATTTTGTGGCCATGAGACTTACAAAGCATTAAGCTTAATCCAATGAAATATCCCAATAACTAAACTATTAATATGATCAGTGGAGACCAACATTTAAAAAGCCATATATTTTAAATAAAGTTTAATACTTCCTTACTTGAGTGAAAGGTTTTCAATTCCTAGATACGAAATTATTGCAGGCCTATAGAAGTGGCGAAGAACGTTTGCACAATTCATGCCTATGAATACGCATTGAGATCAATGCTCGGTCTACACCGTGCGTGCCGCGGACACGTGCAAAAATGTGGAACTCGATTGAAAAACACTGTCGGAGCTATGGGTAGGCCTATCGGATAGCAAATTACAATTGCAATCTCAAGCTTGACCTTGGCCAATAATATAACTTGCATCTTCTGCTTATTATAGGCCTATTAGGCCTAACTTAACGAAAGGCCACGAAAAACTGTTGATCAAAATATATGTACGGAAGTCTAAATGAGACAGCGTCTTACCAATTTTCTCGCGAAAAGCAGCCGAAGGAAGACTTTGACGGAGAAACATCGACGGAAGCCGGGGCGGATGAGCGTCGACCTTCGGCGTCATCTCCCATCTTGCGCCAAGTTGCCTGGCCGTAGGACTGAATCCCATCGCCACCGCCATTGCTTCTCTGTCTTCTCTTCCATTAGAGTCCTCTACCGGGTGGTGTGATTCTTCTGAAGAACCTCCGTCGTGCAACTAGTGAGATGTTGCAGCTAAGTCAAGAACATCTCGGGTGTGGAAGAAACAAGAACCTATTCAGAGTATTGTATTCAGCTTCGAAGGCTTACAATTACAAGGGATTTCATGGCCTTGGAGAGGGTTTAGAGGTCGTCTACTAATAATTACATGGGAGGTTCTTTCAAACGACGTCTAGACTCACTGTCTGTATTCCTTAAATAAAAGGTTAAAAAGGAGGACTCATCACGGCGTTTAGGATCATTAAGGACATCGGTAATGGGAAAGGAGGTAGATTTTTCCAATGGCAATAGCAGAACGAGAACCAGCTCAAAAAAATCCTCAAATGAAACTCAAATTTCCGGCTTTCTAAGTTTCAGGTAATGAATGCGTGGAACGAGTTTGGTAATGATATCATCCTTGTTCCTATCGTGGACCAATAGGTACCCAACTTTTCAAATGAAGTTGAAAATTGATTTTAATACAGCCCACGGTCTAAAATCACCAGTGAAGGTCTGTCATTTGATTGAACACATTCATGTGCACATATTTAAGCAAATGTGTTTCGTCTCGTTTTTCGCAGTGACAGGGAGTTTATCTACATTTAAAAAAACGTCCAAAATATGGGACAGTACGTTTAAATAGAAAATGGCACATTATATGCAAATAGTAATCGAAACAAGAATTCAACCTTTGAAATATTTTCTGTGCTCAACATTTTACTTTTTCTTCCGGCTGATGGCATTGGACTCATCTTTCAGCTGCCATCCTGCAGTTTAGGAATTTACAAATGGGTCATTTATGTGAAATTTTCAAAGAATGCCATGAGGGGCATGAGACAGCCGAGAAACATGGGCGGGGCAGTCTTATCAGTATGGGCCACATTGAGAAGACGCAATTTTAAAACGTCCCAATTTAGGACGCTGGGAATTAATGGGTTCAGAGTTTACAGTCATTCGTGAACAAAAATGGGAGCAATATAGTCAGTTATCTGTGGAAGGGATTCAGACGTTCCCTCCAAAAACATTTACCATTAGAGTAGTCGGTCTAATTTCGAATTGGAGGGAGAGATTATGGTGAAAAGGAAGAAAACGGCCCAAACCTGCGCCGCAGAGAAGCCCATATTTGTTATTGAAAGAAAACAATTAAAAGTCTCAATAAATGTTTATAATATGTCTCAATAAAATTGGGGTGCGAGAAGCAAGTTTTGACCTCAATCTCGACCTCAGTTTCGTGACAATATGGTAGTCCTACTGGGACAATTATCATCTTCTGGTGAAGATCGGTACCCGACATGACATCATTTTGGTCCAAAATAAGAAAAACCGCTTAGTCGCATCGTTCTTGTGGATGTTCCGCCCAGATTCTTGATTACGACTTAAGCTGATTTCAAGACTGCAGTCCAGTCGCAGTTCGGTTCCAGTTTGACTTCAGTTCCTGTACCAGTTGGGATTTCTGTGATAGAAGTCGACAAGACCAAAGTGGAGCCTCAGTTTACCCAAAGTCTGAACTGAAACTAGAATCGAGCTGCAACCGAACTGCCGTTTGTCCCCACTGCCCCCGTTTGGAGGGCAGACGAATGAGGAAGTCGGTAGCTTAACTTCAGTGGCAGGGGACCGACCAGAGTCTCGGAGTTTCTTTCCGGGCGGGAGCCTCGGAGCGTTCAGGGTGGCTCCTCGGCACGAGGCATTCCATTGGGCGTGTTCTTGAAGATCCGTATTCCAATATACAGGGTGATCCAAAAAATCTTGGATCCTAAGGCTATCAATGAAATTTACAAAGCTACTGGATGAAAAAAATTTTGTTACTGGCGAAACTCTATCTAGAGTATTGCTTCACGTCAAAAAATGTTAATTTAGTTTGAGCAATAAATCTCCAGCAATTACAGCAAATTTTCAAAATGACCCCCATCTTGATCAATACACGTCGCAATTCGTAATCTCAACATAACGGCTCTGTTTATTTTGGCTTGACCCAGGAGTTGCCTAGCTTCATTAACACGCTCGACGTTCACGACGGAGGTTTTTTTTAATATCCCAAATGACCTCAGTATATTCGCTTTGACACATTCTTTCCTTGCATAATAAACCACCGGTCAGGACGTAACTGTCTAATGTCCAAGTATCCCTGACTTCGTGCTGCCTGATATGTGGGTCCCAATTTCACCCGACCTCAATTTAGTGGATTATTATGTAAGGAAAGATTGTGTAAACACGAGTATACTGAGGTCATTCAGGATGAAAACCACCTCATCGAGTGTGTTAATGAAGCTAGGTAACTCCTGGATCAAGCCAAAATAAACAGAGCGATCGATCTGTTCAGATGGCGAGTTGTGATGTGCATTGATCAAGATTTTGAAAATTTGCTGTGATTGCTGGAGATTTATTGCTCAGGTAACATTTTTTATATGAAACAACACTCTACGTAGGGTTTCACCTGCAATACAATTTTATTTCATCCAGTGGTATTGTAAATTTCATTGATAGCCTTGGGGTCCAAGTAGGGCTGGATAAAGAAGTTGCGAGGCCCGGGGCAAGTGAATTCTTGAGGTTAACCCCCTCCCCACTACTTTATACAAATTTTTAACGTTAATTTCCTTTGGGGGGGGGGGGGGGGGGGGTCCCCTGGAAGAGTGGGACCCGGGGCAACAGCCCCCCCTTAATCCGGCCCTGGGTCCAAGATTTTTTGGACCACCCTGTACATGTGCATACAAGTGGTTGATGGCTTTTAATTGCTTTGTGGAGCTGTGGCCCTGAGGGAGAATTCTCGAGGTCATTTTCCACCGTTCGATCTCCAAAGTAATAACTTCAGAACTATCCACAGTTACTCAAAAACTGAATAAAGGGCATCCACATACGAAATATATCGAATTCCGAGGTATTAACCTAATTGCTAATTGCGTTTCTCTCTGATTTTCTAATGCACGTGTTCTTACGGAACTCCGATTAAGGTCGAAGCCAAGTAGTGCATCCCAAAATAACCGAATTGAGACCCCCCCCCCCGAGGGATTCGAGTTTGCAAGGAAATGAAACGTCCTTCGAGTGCTAAATGAAGTTAGAGGGGGGAGGGTGTGAGGGGGAAGGGGGAAGGGGGGGGGGTAGATAAGGGGAGGAGGGTTATCTGGGTTGGAAGCCTCCAAGGGCATTCAGCCTCCTGCGCCTGGTGGCTTCGAATTGTATGAGAGGATCAACGATCGATGTGAAATGATTCGAATGAAATGCTTTTTTTGTCGCACAGATTCCTCGCCCCTTTTACGGGCGGACACCGCGGGGCTGCCGAGTCCTAGACAAAATGAGGGAAAGTGCCCCAAGTTGCAGAAGGTGTTGACGCCGGGCTCATTTCGAGCCTTTGGGTTCATGACTGGGACCGTGATCGCGCTCATGACGGTGTCGATGATGCGAGATGACGGGATCGGGATTCCGAATGTGACCCGTGAGATCAGACCGTGGAGTGATGCAAATGTGAGATTTTCAGCTCCGTTTTTAGCTTTGAAGCAAAAGAGAGTTATAATAATAATTAATTATCACAGCAAAAAGTTGCATCACATGCAGCTTTTCTCTTTTCTGAGGTATCTGTATTCTTCTCTGTTTTGCTGAAGAATTCAGAATTAAAATTCTTGAGCCCTTGCGAGCTGTCGATCGTCACTTCTCTTGTCACTGGAGGTGGATAATTTCTGCAAATATTGCAAATGTTTATTGATCTTTCTGCGATCTCCCTTTGTCCCAGGAAATTCTGCAATCCATTTCTCTCTCGGAGTCCCAAGCTCCGACCTGCAGGCAAATCGGCTCTCAGGACCATCAACAGGGTCTGAACCGCTTCCATGCTTCCTGGGCCGGTGTTCATATTCATACATTTGAAAAGCACCAAAGATATGAAGGAAAAAGCACCACGAGTGCTTTTTCCTTCATATCTTCCAAATCTGTTCGGTATGAATAAGGGTTTCACCAGAAAAAAGCCAGTTTCCTTGTCATTCGAGACGTCAGCTGCAGCTGCAACTCCTCCTAAGAACGTATTCAGTAGAGTTTGAAAAGAGAGGAAAGGGAATCAATGAAAGGCCTATTTACGTCACTCAAGGTCAGAAATTCTAAGAGTCATGCTGCATGAACTATTATAGAGCAAGCGGCAATTTCAGGCTTTTTACTTGCTTCCGTGCCACTCATCTAGTCGATATTTCCTCGACGGTTCCCCCTTCCATTGAACAAACGGGGGGGGGGGGGGGGGGGGGTACCACGAGTTGTAATCAACGCTATGGTGAATGTGTGACCGAAATAAGCAGCCGTCGCTGACGAGCGAGTAATTGGAATCTTCAGCCATTGCTTCCAAGAAGCAGAAACGATATCGCGAAACCAGTCAAAATAGCAAGAAAGAGGAAATAAAGAGGCGCAATGCAACTGTGAATAGCTGCGATAGCAACAAACTTTTCTAAAATAAATTAGTAAAATAACTCCTCACCAGGAGTAACTAGAATGGACCAAAAAAGAATAAAAGGAAGACAAACTGGCTCTTCAATAACATTTGAAGGACATAATATTTGAGGAACCAAACGTGACAACTAATGGTGAATAGTCAGGTCAAATATCATTGGGAGATTGAATCGCTCGCAGATCCGAATGATCCTGAAGCTGGTCTTCAAGTACAAACTGTCTCCTGAAGAGTTCCTCAAAGTGGTTAATCAAAGAGGCACAAATCAGAGCCGTTCAGCGGCCACAGTTCGGGATCTTTCAGGCATTTGCTGTGGCAAAGCAGAGGCAACTGCCTGAGATCTACGGATCGCGACACCATCTTGCTAGAATAAATTTCCAGGGAAAATATCAGACTTCAGACAGACAGAAACTTGGCCATGAAACAAGTCAGATTCGCCGCATCAGTTGCTTGCGTTTAGGCAGCCGGAGGAACACTTGAGGAAGAAGTTTACGAGAACACCATCTT